TGAAATCTATCAAGATGTAATAAATGTGCAATTTGTCCTCCAGAGAATATTTAGTTAAAAGGTATTCTGAAAATAATTATGTTAAAGTAAGTATGTTAAATGCTATTACACTATGTGTTCATGGTGTTCTGGACATGTATGATATTATTTTGTTTAACAAAAATATGTCATATATGCTGGGGACTATTTATAGTTAATAGAAAGTTGAAAATTATATAGGAAATACATATCACATGTTTATTATTTGTTACTTGTTTGTCCTTGGTTTCGTGTTATTAGTGTGTCCTTCAGAGGTATGAAAACCGACATTACAATAATACTTATTGTTGGCCAGGGTATAATGAACATTCACCAAAAATTTTAGTTTTTTAGCTTCAAAATTGGCGAAGATATGATTTTTGCCTCAAAAGTAACATTTCTGGACCACTGCACAGTGGGCCAGGTGGTAGACAAAACCTCAAAAATGAAAGTTTATTATTTCTAAAACCATGTAATAAAATATAGTCGTAAAACTCTATTGTGTTATTAAAAAATTTATTTGAGTATAATAGTACCTTTCAAAACCACAAAAACGAATTGCGGATCCATTTATAATAAATTACTTTTTTTTTTTACAAAAAAGCATAAATTTTTTCATATTTATGCTTAACTTTAGTAAACAGTAACTTAAAATACGTTTATGCGCAATTAGTCTTTATATTTTAACTATTTAACAAGATAATTATATGAAGATAATATAAAGGAAAGATCAACATTTATAACACATTTATAAACTAGCTTTATAATAACAAGGTAAGTTTATAACATTTAATACTTTTATTTTGAAACATAAAAAACTTGAATGTTCTCAAAACATCTTGATGCGAAAGAATAAAAAGAATATTTGCGAACACTAAAAACCCGCCAAATTAACGAACAAACTAATTCTATTGGTTCAAAAAATATGCTGACTAAGCAAAATAAAGTTTTAGAGCATTCTGTTGAAATGTTTTAGAAATTATATTATTCACGATTTGTTACGTTTTCAGATTTCTAGCGTAAATCGTTTAAGAATATATATTAATTGTTTACAAAAATAAATGTTTTAAATATATATTTAATGCGGTAGTGGTGTAGTGGTAAGAGCGCTCGCTTTGTAAGCGAGCGGTTCTGATTTTGACTCCCACCATGTCCCTGGAAGTACCGTGCTCAACTTAATTTCTCCGCACAGCGGTCTTGCTTGTCAAGGTTCGTGTTTCAGAGTTAAAGAGTTGAGAGAGGGTTGTACCACGATTTACAACAACAACAAAAAAAAAACCGCACCGCGTCTGAGGTCACAACAGAACACAAATATATATAGCTAATAAAGAAAAGTTTCTAGACATTGGTTTACTAATTCTAATTATTTTCGCTAAAGTTGCCATTCTTAAAAACTCGTTATACTTTTTTCTGCTTTAATTACTAATTAAAAAGCCCACTCACTAAACATCATCAGCGATATTGTGAACCAGTTTCGCTTCCTTGTCATACTTTTAACCTTTTCAGTTGATTTCTATCTTGTTAATTTAATTTCTATAGCAATTCAATGATTTAATTATTTCATTTGTTTATCTTACTAAGAGGAATCGCTTCAAATATGTTAAACTTTTCAAACTACGCGAAACATAAAATAGGTATTAAAAAAATTAACTTTTTTATTTATAAAATAATTTAGCTTAAATAAAACTAAAACTTGCATACTTTGTTTAATAAAGAATATTTGTTTCCTTTTTAAACAATCGTAAGATGCTACTTTACATAAAAAACATCGCTTAATTTTATAAAAAAAATTATAAAAGCAATGTTTCAAAAATATTTGTTCTAAACGTAATTTATTTAGCTTTAAGTTTTTTTGCATTTAAAGATATTATATTTGCCTAATTTTTTTTTTTTGTAATTGTCTCTCATCGGTCCAATTAATCTTTGGCGTTTTTTTTTTTTTTTTTGCTTGTTAAAATGCTCTCAAAACGACTAAAAAATCTGGCCAGCTTTTTGCAACTAAATATTATTTACATGGTCAGCAATCGAAAGCGATCGCTCCCGCTTCCCGACCAAGCCTGCTTTATCTGGCGTTGAATTACTTTATCTGGTGTTGAATTACTTCATGCAACAACAGCGTTGAATTACTTCATGCAACAAAATTAAAACTTAGGAATGAGTTTAAGTACAAGACTGCTAAAAAATTGCAGAAATTTCAGATGATAAACCTGTTGTATATCTCCTAAGAAGTATTCATCGGATGAAGGTCGAGCAATGATTGTTGATGGTGGCATATCAAAATCAACATACCAACTTTTACGAAATGGCTCTAAAGAAAAAGACTGCCACATCTATCTTTTATATAATGATATATGATTTTCAAAAGCTAAATGTTACCCCAAAAGCATTTATGTAAATGAGCATATAGTAAACTTACTGCTAAAAGACCTTCTGATGCACATTCTTAAAAGACTGAGTGACGTACAAGCTCCTGTGCTAATAACAATGTTAAAGGAACTAACTAAACTGACATTTAGATACAGGGCGAAGTTTTTACAAACAGGTTAGCCATAATGAAAACATTGAAAGAAATCTAAAGAATAAAGAGTATTTATTACTTGCATAGTACCATTAGAATTGAGTGGATTTTATAATAATAAAAACGTAGTAGTGTGGAGAAACAAAAAGCCATCATTGACTGCATATTGTCGACCAGTTAGATTTTCCTTGTGATAATATTAACATTATTTTTGCAGGAAAAGAAATAGCTGTAAAATGTTTTATTAAGCTGACCATGATAGATGGTAAAATTCAATCAATTTTATTAACTATGACAAACTCGACACAGTGTTGTCCAGCTTGTGGTATATCTCCCAAAAACATGAAAAACTTGGAGAAAGTGTTGAATTTAGACACCAATAATTTACAGTTTAAATATGGTTTTAAATTTTTGAGCTAATACTGCACATTATATATAAAAAGGAAAAATAGAACCATAGCTGATAAAATAATGGTACAGCAAGTGAAGTGCCAAATTCCGGATTGGTTGTGGATTTTCCCAAAAGTGGTGTATCAGGTAAGTCAAATTTTATATTTTACACAATTTTTTTTATTTATACATATAATATTTCAAAACATAAGACATAATTTTCTAAATTTTTAGGTACTAGTAACGATGGAAGTACTGCCTGCAGAGCTTTTGCTAACTATAAATCAACTGCTGAGATATTGAAAGTTGATAAAACTCTTATATATCATTTTTATATTATTTTCACTTTGTCATCGAGATATGAAATATATACTATAAAGTTTAAAGCTTTTTGCATAACCGCTCTAAAACTATGTATATATATATATCAAATTATTCATGGTTTTATATGTTACAATCTGTCCACAAATTTTTGGTTTATGGTCATGCCATAATTGCAAGACAATTTCTACCAATTGGAATAATGTTAGAAGATGCCCAAGAAGCGTAAAATAAAGACTTCAGGAACTTTTGGAAACATTTTAGCAGAAAGACCTCAAGAAAAGATACAAACCAAGATTTGATTAATAGGATTACAAACCAAGATTTGATTCATATATCTAGTGATCTGGTTATAACATTTCTTAGAAAACTAAAGTTAAATAACAATCAAAGTTTGCATAAATTTCTGAGCAAAGTTCTAGAATTGGTGAGAGGAATCAGCTCCATAACTTGATAATTTTTAATATATAAATTAGTCCATGCTTTGTTTTCTTTTTTCTTTGCATTTTTTAAATCAAAATCATTTTTCGCATAAAAAACTAAAAATGATGTCATTCGGAATTTGGGAGCAATATGTTTTAAAAATAAAAAAACATAATACTTTTGACTAGATCATAATTAATCTATTTCATCATAAAATACCTTCATATTTAAAACGTCATGAGCGTTTTATGAGAACTTGAACAACGCAAATATAAAAAATTATAAATCCGCTTTTTTTAAAAGTTTTTTTAATTATTTTCTGTTTATGCAATAATTTAACTAAAATTTATAATTAAAGTAAAAATTTCTTAACTTAAGGTAATTATTTGGACATTTTAAGATCTTTAGTAAAAAAAAATATGAAAATAATTTTGTCCACCATAAGTCTAATAGTGCTATAAGTCTAAAGTGCCCACCATAAGTCTAAAGTGCCCACTGTGCACTGTGAGAGGTTAAATGTGACATCAAAACTTTTAAATTTATGCTTAGTTCAATTTGAAAGCCAATATTTAAAAAAAATTTTATATCTTTTCTACTTTTATCGAACTGTGGACCAGATATTTTACGCAATACTATTAAACCATCATCAAGATAAAGTCCTAATTATTGATTATTTTACATAATAAATCTAAAATATATTGTCCAACAAATTCACAAACTTTTGCTCTATCATAACTGCCAATTTTTACATCAAAGAGCAGTCATAAATATTCTTTTATGTTTCTTTATTAAAAGGCTTTTCTACAAGGATTTTTTTATGCAATTTTTCTTTTTTGGAGTAATAGTGTGGATATGTACAAATTTAATTGTTTTATCTAAAATATCTGCTATAATTGAGGGGAAAAAATCATTATTTTCAAATTGAATAAATGTACAGTCTTTTTTATTTTTTATTTTATTTTATAGAGAACCAATTTATAATATCAATAGTATTTTTCCACTATTGTAAATGTAATTTATTTCTAAGAATATTGATTTAATTTTCCTTACATGTGCAATCTCACTTTTTGAGGGAATAAACTTACAAGGTAGTTTGCTTTGAAAATTTGGATTATGATCTTTTAGTTTTACAAAAGCTTGGGGAGGGGCAGTTGATTCAATTCTGTCTTCAAGGTTGATTTTTTTAGCAATACTTTGGGCTTCTACATTATTAGCATTTTCCAAAAATTTTTAGGGGCTTTTTTCATAAGAAATAATAATGTTAGGTAAGATTTTTTACACACAACATTCTAGAAAATCCAAAATACAATAAATAAAAACATTAACTCACTTTAAACTCTCCACCAAGAGCTATAGATAACTGCACTATCAAATCGATGAAAGTATTTTGCAATGTTACCTGACTTGTAAGAACCCAATACTCCTAAAAATGCAATAATATCATGCAGATGCAGTATTGACACAATTAGATAGAGTATTTACATATACACAAAACTAAAAAAGAATCTTACTCGTATTAAACTAAAAATTTCATCTAAATAGTTTCTGATATGTTGTTTTACCACTGATATTAGTTGACCCAACATTTGTAACACATACTAAAATAAAGATTGCAGATAAGTAAAAAAAAACAACTATATTAGCTTTATGTCTAAAAAATAATAAACCTTACATCACGAAAGCCAGGCTCACAGGTCCTTATGACATTTAAATAAGAAGGCATTAATTGTGGTAAGTATTGTACACCTTTCATTCCCATGTTGTTAAATATAAAATGAACAGCTTGAATTGCAGTATGATGATATGCTGCAAGCACTGGATCACGCATTATTCGCATCATAGAAGCAATAACAATGGCCGGATAAAAGTCATCAAGCTGAGCACTCCCCATATTAACAAGCATTTCACTAGCATTTGATTCTAAACCATTAATTTAAAATTAAAAATATTCTTTTTTCCTTAAATAATTCAACTGCAGTGGAGGCAACATAATAGAGCCAACAATAAATAATTGAAAATAAATTTTTTTTTATTGTATGTCTATTATCAAATAGAAGTAAGCACTAACATTATCGCATCAGCAGTTTGCAAAATAGCAATTTTTGATTATACAATAAAAAGGATTAAAAATTGAATCTAATTGCACACAATTTTTTAATAAAAATTGCCCAGCCATTGGCTCTAAAAAAATACAGCATCATGATTACCTAACTAATTATTGCATTGGAAACTTAGCGACCACTATTCTTTATCTAAATATAAAAATTTACAGCATTACCAAAATTAACCTGCATTGCGATAATGTTAGTGCTTAACTTGAAGTATGAAAAATTGAAAGAAAAAAAGTTAAACTGAAAACCTGAATTTTCTGCATCATCTTTTTTTGTAAGAGCATCTTTAGCATTTGTTATCTGTTTATACTTATATGGATCTAAAGCACCAAGCAACCCCAATACTCTAATTGCCTAATAAACATAATCAACTAACGTCTAAGCAAATACTATAATGTTACATATACATACATACATATATATATATATATATATATATATATATATATATATATATATATATATATATATACTTGCACAAGATCTTATATCTTTGAATACTTGGTCTTATATATATATATATATATATATATATATATATATATATATATATATATATATATATATATATATATATATATATATATATATATATATATATATATATACATATATATATATATATATATATATATATATATATATATATATATATATATATATATATATATATATATATATACTTGCACAAGATCTTATATCTTTGAATACTTGGTCTTAAATGAAATAACAATGATGTCATACTGAGATAGCCGAATGCATGAGCTTCAGGACATACATCAATAGAAGGTTTGGGATTGGACAAGTAAAACTAAAGGAATTTTATTAAAGAAAAATTTTTTCATTAATCTTTGCTCTGTTCTTCACACGCACTAATATATATATATATATATATATATATATATATATATATATATATATATATATATATATATATATATATATATATATATATATATATATATACACTTACATTATCTTGTTAAGATTGTTTGGTGTAGTTAAGGTGGATTTAAAATCTAAAATACTTTCCTGTCCAAGAAATAATTCTACCAAACATTTTAGATTTTGTTTTAATAAAAAAAAATTACTGGCAAGTTTTGTATTTGTGATGAGTATTTGACACAACTTAATCTGAACACTTGTCCAGATTAGATTAAGACTTTTTTTTCAGGTAAAATGAACATCATAGTATAATAATATGATCTATTCTGATAGGTCAATTATAATTTTTTCTGATCGGTGTCCATAAACTTTTTATGAAACTTTATGTTATATTTTGACAAATATATTCAGTTAATATGCAAAAGGGTAAGATCTCAAGCAGATTAAGTTTACAAAAAATCTAACTATTTAATCTTAACCTATAAACTCGAAAAAGGTGTTCTTTAGATCTTGTATTAGTGGCAGTATAGGATTTTAAAAAATTATTAAAAATAAAGAAAACTTTTTTTAAACATTAAAAAAACTTGACAAAAAAAAAAGCTATTGCTTAGATATAAAATGATTAAATCATGTAAAAAATAAAAATAAAAATAAAATAATTAAAATTTAAAAGATTAAATCATATGGACTCCAAATTTTATCTTATATCATGAGGACTCCAAATAATATCTTAAATCACGTGGACTCCAAATTTTATCTTAAATCATGTGGATTCCAAATTTTATCTTAAATTATATGGACTCAAAATCTTCTCTTAAATCATGTGGACTCCAAATTTTATCTTAAATCATGTGGACTCCAAATTTTAGAATTCAAATTCAAATTTATAAATTACCTTAACTACAATGAGTGTTTTAATTTATTTTCTACATTTAAGTTTTAAAGGTTACTTGATATTTCATGCAAGGCTGAGTGCAAAAGATAATTGTATATATATGAATTAAAAAATATTTCAAACAAATACAAAAAAAAAGTAGAAATAAAGCATTTTAAATATCTGATATACCTCTTTTCTGACTCCAGGAGACTGTTCAGTCTTAAGAAAGTTCAGAAGAACTTCAAGCAAATTTGGATACTTCTTGTATGGCTCAACAACATATCTATAAAATTATATATACTTCATATATGGCTCAACAACATATCTATAAAATTATATATACTTCTTATATGGTTCAACAACATATCTATAAAATTACAATAAAGCATCAAAAACAAAATGTCATTAAACTTATTTAAAAAAAGGTTTACATACCCTGTGCTTTCTACTAGTTGTCCTAGTGTACATAATGCGACCTAAAGGTATTCCATTGTTTAAAAAAAATTTACAAAAGAAAGTACACACCTATCTAGATTGTGATTTTAGTGGGAATTAAAAATGGTGCAATAATTCAACATTTTAGTGGGAATTAAAAATTGCGCAAAAATTCAACAGTTTGAGTATTAGTATATTTTGTTAGTAATAATACTTTATTTACAAAAAAACAATGATTGAATTTATAAAGATGACATCTCATTAAAAGGTGGTTTTTTCATAAAGCAATACATGCAATACTATTGCATTTAAAGAGCAGATGTTTTGAATCACTGCTTTGTTTGCAGCGTACCTGTTTCAATAAAGCAAAGACCTGAAGTAGTTTATTATCAATCCAACATAATTTTTATAACAATTTGATGAGCATTCTCCTAAATAAAATAAAGATTGGAGGCCATATGGCTCGATTAAAATCAGAACCAATGTTTTATCAATTAATAATTGTAATATTAACTTAATTATTCACATTTGAATAATTAAGTATTGGAAACATTAATTAAATCAACATAACATATTACACATTATATTTTTCATTTTTGCACATTATTTTTAACATACTACGCATTTTTTATACATTTTTGCACATAATTTTTAACATATTACACATTTGAATTGTTTAAAGCACTATTTTTAAAATCACAATCATTATTTAACAAATACCTCTTCTTTTCATTATTATTTAACAAATACCTCTCTTTTTCATTATTATTTAGTAATTACCTCTCTTTTTGCAAGGGAAGAAGCATCTTGAAGCATTTCAATTATAACCGGAAATAACTCATCTATATACTTTCGCATTTCAAAACCACCAACCTTTTAAAACAAAAACAAACAAAAAAATGTAACTAAAATTTAAATGTATGAGAGAAATTTTTTTTTTAAATCAAAGTACCTGTGCTAGTTCCCCAATAGTAGCAAGAATACTAGTTACAACACCAGGGTTTGGATCTTTATCTTTTAATTTAGGTACTAGAGCCTATTATGTATAAATATAATTTTAATTTTAAATTTACATGTTTTATTATTTGGAAACAGTAACATATTCTAGTAACTTTAAACCCTCATAATTAAATAGTAACCTTTAAAATTGGCTCCATGTATGGTCGAATCAATCTGGGAGCATTAGAAACTAGGTGTGCAAGCATTCTCGCACTCTGCTCTCTACTTCTTCCAACACCACTATATTCAAGTTCAGTTAGTATCTGTAATTGAATATATATGTATGATGAAAAAAAAGTATCTGTAATTGAATATATATGTATGATGAAAAAAAAGTATCTGTAATTGAATATATATGTATGATGAAAAAAAAGTATCTGTAATTGAATATATATGTATGATGAAAAAAAAATATCTGTAATTGAATATATATGTATGATGAAAAAAAAGTATCTGTAATTGAATATATATGTATGATGAAAAAAAAGTATCTGTAATTGAATATATATGTATGATGAAAAAAAAGTATCTGTAATTGAATATATATGTATGATGAAAAAAAAGTATCTGTAATTGAATATATATGTATGATGAAAAAAAAGTATCTGTAATTGAATATATATGTATGATGAAAAAAAAGTATCTGTAATTGAATATATATGTATGATGAAAAAAAAGTATCTGTAATTGAATATATATGTATGATGAAAAAAAAAAATTATTCTGCTTCATATTTAAAAACTTTGGAAAGAATACATTTTAAAAAATTGATAAGTATATATACAATATTGGACAAAACATTTGCAACCAACATCGAACAATGCTAAAAAGCGTTCCCACTTTTACATGTCTTAAAAACGAAACGAACTATATTATCACAGCAAACTGTTCAGGAGTCTGAAGTCATAGCATGCCATGACATGAGCAATCAGCTGACAGGTGACAGCACAAAGGCAGAATTTCTTTGACAAGTGCCATTTTGCAGCGGACAAAACAAGCGCAATGTTTTTGGCTTGTTTCATTTTCTTAAGTCTGATCCGTGTCAACGTCACATAAGTTTTTTAATAATTAAAGGAAGTATCCAGTAATTTCCAGAAGTTTCCAGAAGCATGCAGAAGCTTCGAGAAGTTTCCAGAAGAAGCATCTGGAAGCATCCAGAAGCATCCAGAAGTATCCAGAAACATTCAGAAGCCTTAAGATGCATTCAGAAGCTTCAAGAAGCATTGAAAAGAAGCATCTAGAATCTTCCAGAACAGGTTCACACAGGTTCATACTACTATATAAGAGACATGTAAAACAACATGTAATTCAGTCAGTATATGGAAGTCAATCAGTCAGTATTATCAAGACAGTTTATCGAAGTGAGTTTTGTCAAAGTGTTTTATCGAAGAACATCAATAAAAGAAGTAAAATACAACAAGGGTTTCATTACATCAATACATTCCACATCCAACCAAGACGTTGTGTTCCACAGGGCATTATTGTATCATCACAAGGTAAATGTAACACGGTATGCCTTGAGAAAGGTGATTATTTATTTTTATTATTTTTATGAATTCAAGTGCAAAAATGGCTCCCGACAGTCTTGGATTGGAATTAAGAAAGAAAATTATATAACACAAAAAATTTATATAACACAAAAAAGTATTTGTGATAAATATCATGTGAAAAAATGGACCATATCAAGACTATGTTCCAAATATTGTTCTACGGGGAAGTTGGCAGCAGATAACAAAGGTGGAAGACCGCATTCCACCACTTCTAGAGAGGATTCTATGATTATCAGATCCATCAAGAAGGATCCTGGATATCATCAGTCGAGATACAAAAACAATTAGAGCTGTATGTATCGGACCAAACAATCAGACAACCTGCTGTTGAAGCTGGATTATTTTCTCGACAAAGAAACTACTGATTTCACAAAAGAACCAGAAGAAAAGACTTCTGTTTGCTACATCTCATATTGACTGGAATGTGCAGAAATGGTGAACTGTCCTGTTCAGTGATAAATTGAAGTTCAACATCATTGGGAGCGATAGCATTTGCCGCGCACGTCGAACAGCTGGAAAACGCCTCAATTTACATTACTGCCATAAGACAGTGAAGTATGGTGGAGGCAATTTAATGGTCTGGGGGTGTTTTTCTGCTAACAGTCTAGGTCAAATACATCGAATCGATGGAATAATGGACCGTTTCATGAATAAAAATATCCTGAAAATGTTATGTTACCTTACCCTTATGCTGAATGGAATATGCCAATAAAATGGGTTTTTCAAAACACACTGCAAAAGTAGACAAGCAGTGGTTTCAAGACAACCACCTATCGGTGATGGATTGGCTGCCTCAATATCCGGATCTCAACCCTATCGAGAACCTGTGGGAGATTGTCAACCGCAGAATTAATCATGAAGGTGTTTGTAATAAGGATCAACTGTTTGAACAAATTCAAAAGGCCTGGTCAGCGATTCCACAAAGTTTCATTGATCACCTGATCTAATCTATGCCTCAAAGATGCAAGGCTGTGATCGACAACAAAAGATTCGCCACAAAATATTGATAGCGAAATACAGCTTGGTCAACATTTTGTGGAGTTGCACTTGTTTTGTCCAGAAGGAAATCAACTTTTTTTAATACTTTTGATTAATTTATTAATTTTCGTGTACAAATAATGAACTTTGTGATGAATTAAACTTGAAGAATGTTGTCTCTAAACAGTTACATAGTTATTTCTCTAAATTGAAAAAATGCAGCACTTTTATATAAAGAAACTAAATTAGCATTATTTGGTTGCACTTGTTTTGTCCAATACTGTATATACATGCATATATATATATATATTATATATATATATATATATATATATATATATATATATATATATATATATATATATATATATACATATATATATATATATATATACATATATATATATATATACATTTATATATATACATATATATATATATATATACATATATATATATATATATATATATATATATATATATATATATATATATATATATATATATATATATATATATATATATATATATATATATATATATATATATATATATATATATATATATATACAGTGACGTATCCAGAAATTTTTTAAGCATAACAGTCTAAAAATCCTGTCTAACTTAGAGAACCTTTTTTTTTTTAAACTCAAATTTAAATACAATTATTTGTATATAATATTCAACTCGCCCAAGTATTTTAAGTTTTTTTATAATAAAAATTTAAATAATGTTACATTTATTACAGAATGATGGCTTTAACTCCAACATTGATTTGTCGTTAATTGCTACTTTTCATTTACTTGCTCTATTCTCTTACTAATTATAAATTATAATTAATACTAAATATTAAATTATTAAATTATAAATATCAAATATTATTAACTAGAAATATAAAGAGTATGATTTCATAAACAAGCAAAATTATAACGTTTAATAAACAATATTTGTATGACTCTTTTAAATAGACTTGATAAGATTTATTACATAGCGTATTTATTGCATAACAAGGTAAATTCATTTGAAATTTTAATTACTTCATTCAAAAATTAATAACTTTTATTTCTAGTTCTACTCTTACTTTTCAAATTAAGTTTTTTGGCGCAAATATTAAAATGCTATGTTTTAAAAACTTTTATTTGTTTTATTTAAAGTATTTTTAATACAATTTTACTGTTACTTGAAATGAAAAGGTTTCAAGCTCATATAGTTTAATCGCTTTCAAAATTATGTTATGAAAATGTAAATATAGGAGAAACTCAAACTAATGTATTTTAAAAATTTGATTTAAAAATGCTAAGCATTTCATATTTTAATCCAATCAAAATATGCGTTTTACATTTAATCCAATTCCAACATATTCTATATTTCATCAACATGAATTCGAATTAAGCATTCTGGTTGGCTTAAAATACATTTATAATGTATTTTAAAAGTTGTTTTTCAAATGTTGGTTTTTCTAAGTGATATTGATATCGCCAATGTAAAAGTGTTTTAAATTGAGTTTAGGCTGAAATTTGGGGGCCCATACCGGTATACCGGATCAAAATCACCTTGGATACCTCGCTGAAATATTTATACACATATACACACACAAACATATATATATATATATATATATATATATATATATATATATATATATATATATATATATATATATATATATATATATATATATATATATATATATATATACACACGCACAACTATAAAAATCATTTGCAATCATTTTACTTGGATAAGAGTTCTTCTTAAAGAAGGCATAATATAAGCTGGATTGTAACTACTTAATCTGCCAATCATGCAAAGCGCAAGTTCACGAATCTCAAACTCTTCATCATTTAATGCAATAAATAATGCCTGCAAGTTTTCAGCTTGAGCCAGGTGAGAATCAAACTTTTGGTCCAATGATTTAAGCACACAAAAGCGAATGTCTGGATCTGATATTTAAAAACAATAGGTAAAATATATCTTTTTACTACTAACCTAAAGAGAAACCAAATACCTAACTCTGCACAAAAAAACTTGATAAATTATAATTTTGAAAAAAGGATTAAATATAAAATAAAGGCTAATAAATTAAATGGCTATTGAATAGAATAAAGGTCAGGAATTCAACTTTTCTAAAACTTCTGAATAACATTACTACTTTTCTAAAAACTCCCTACTTTTTAAAAGGTAAGTTTTTAAAAAAAAAAAATTTTTCCCCCAGAAGATACTTCCTGCATACATTTCTTACAATAAAAATATAAAAAGAGAAATAAAAAGAAATACTTCAAGAACTCAAGAGGAGCTAAAAGTATTTATAAGTTAGCACAAGAGCTTGAACTAAAGTTTAAATTGACCAAGAAACTCAAACTATGCCAAAACCAAAATCGTCACAAAAATTTAATGAAAATTAAACTAAAATTTAAGATAATGAACAAAAACATTGTATATAATGTTTTAATTTTCATAAAAATCACTAATTTTTATTGAAAAATTTTTATGTTTTTTTAATTTAAAAAACAAAACAAAAATAAGAAGCAGTGACAAGCATGAAAAGGAGTAAAACAAAAGTCCAACAAATAATATTTTATTATCTTAATTATATAGTTTGTATCTTGGTTTTAAAATCTATGTTTTTTGGTTTACTTCAGTCAAATATTGTTGTTTCATTAACTTAAAAAAATTGCTGTACTATTTTAAAAAAATTTTATACCTTGATCAGTTATTCCAACAGTAAGCAGCTTACTGAGAACTTCACTTACAACTTGGGTGTTTGCTGAACTGATAGGATAAGAAATTGATACATTCGGTACTACCATAGGCTACAGAAAAGCATTTAAATAAGAATTGTTGAACTGAAATATTTATTATTCTATTTTATATGATATATAGTTATATACAGATAACCATCTACAGATTACTATTTTTCTCTCAACAACCATTCAAAAATATTTATCTATTCTATTTAAAAATTTCTTTCATATTTTTTAAGGCATGACTAATTTTTACACACAATCACTGAATGCAGAATCAATCAGATTTATTTTGATTTCAGTATTGCTAAACTTTTCTGGATTAACTTTTTTAAGCTATAAATAAAAATGACTAAGTAAATTAGACAACTATATCCCATATCAGACTTAGTAAATTAGGTAACTATAACCCATATAAGTTATAGTGATAAATAAAAGCCATCTATAAAATGTAAAATATTTTAAAAAAGTATAAAAATAATAATATTTAGCTAAATTTAGATTGTTTTATGTTTTTTTTAGAAGAATTAAATATTTAATGCAAATATTTTAAATTAAATTTATTACATTAAATGCAAAGTTTTTTCTCCTTAATGATACTCGTTTCATATTTACACACCATTGTTGCGTTGTAAATTATCTAAATGTTATTTGAAATATGTCAGAATTTTTAGTGCACCTGTCTTAACAAAATGTGTAACAGCGTAGTCACTTCAGAGCACACCAAAAAAATATATAACAAGTAATAAAACGACTGTGTAACAACGTTGTATAAAACACACTTATTAAATACTCTATGCTAACTAACTGTATGAAGACTATGCTGAGACAGTTTCTTTTTTTTATGATTAAAACTATGTTGAGTTAAAACTCAAAATAAAGGCATGATTATTTCAAAGGATTATTTGGTGATCTTATATTTAGATTGCTAGCAAAATAAAAATTTTTGGTTACACGAAATTACACAAATTAAAAACAAAAAAATTTTAACATTGTTTAATATACAGACTTGGTCGGGAAGCAGGTACAATTCCACTCTATTCCTGACACATAAAATATTTAGTTGCTACAACTTGGCCACAGCATTTTAGATGTTTTGAGAACATTTCAAAAATGCACAAAAAAAGCTTAACTTGACAGACAGAAGACAATTACAAAAAAACTTAACTAAAAAAAGTAAAGAATTCTTAATGAAAAAAAAATCATAACTAAATCAAAATAAATTACGTTAAGAATTAATAATTTCTAAACTTCACTCTTTAATAATTTTTTAATAAATTAAGCGACACACTTCTTCATAAAGTAACAACTTACTATTAATGATCATTTATTAAGAAAACAAACTCTGTTCGATTTATCAAATAGTATAGTACTATTTCTTTTGTTTTATTTTAACAAGATTCTAATAAAATTTTTCATAAATAAAATGTCTGTACTTCTTTATAAACATGTTATGCATATTTTGCAAAGTTTAATATGTTTGAAACAATTCTTCTTAAGGTGGAAAGTAAGGTGAACAAAAGAAATAATTAAACTATTGAGTTACTTGAGAAATATTTTATCTTTTTTTTTTAGCAATTTCTTACAATAAAAGTTTACCATTTTACATTCTAAATGAATTAGGGGAAAACGGGGCAACATGACGAGCGTTTTGAAAGCCCTGAGTTATTGCAAAACTATCAGCCGTGAAGCAATAATACTTTCCAGTATGTTTATGTTATCAAAATCCTTCATTGCCTGCATGAATTTTCAGTTTGCAAATATAACAATTTGAAATAAATATTAAAATAAAAAGTTCATAAACTTGTTATCTGATCACATGACCGGGGCAAGATGACTTATTATGCAATTTTTACCTCCAATTTTATAAAATTTTAAAAACTACCAAAAAATCTAACTAAAGTAACACAAAATAAACACAAATCGCAAAAAACTACTTCTAAAGAAGTTAAACTTGAAGGACACCATCCATTATGAGAAACCGAAAGTGAGGAATTTTTTTTTAAGCGCAAAAAGTAAACTTATGCGTATAAAATTGCGTTGATAATATTTCAAAAAACCAATTGGTGTTTTAAAATACAAGATGCAAACACAGTTTCGTTTTCAACCAATTTTAAGATTTTTTGTTGAGTTGTTATATGAAAACCCATCTTGCCCCATTCGCCATGTTGCCCCGCTTTCCCCTATGATTTCATTTTGTATTTTGCAAACTAAAAGCTTTTATTACATCAGATTATTTGAAAGCAATCTATGATTAAACTAATAATATAAAAATAACTTATAAAGAGGAAGCAGAACTGCTTTACAATACCACTGTTGTGTTAGGAATGAAGGGAGGGGGTGGGGATTTTTTTGTCTTTAAAACATTAAAAACAAAAACTGTCCCCCCCCCCGGCCCCATATCTATATACATACTTTATAAAAAAATATTTGAAACACCTCTAATATAAAAACATTTGATTACAAAAGATTAATGTTATGAAATTTATTCTTTAAGCGTGTTGAAACTTTATTTTTGGGATATACATGGAAGCATACATGAATTTAGATGTTCTTAAAACATCTTAAAATATATACAGTCGCAACTAAATATAATATGCATGGTCAGGATTAAAGTGCAAGAGCACCCCCTTTCTAACCAAGCCTAAACATAATATTACTTTAGCATATATACTTACATGTAATGTAGGTTCCAATAGATATGAACATGTACGAACTGCTTCAATTCTGATTCTTTTGTTTTCATTCAATAAGAAAGCAGCACAACTAGTAATGTAGCGCGCTAATCCCAGTCCTAATAAATATACTTCATATATATGCTCCATATATAATATATGAAGCGTATATATAAGTTAGCATATATATATAAGCATATGTATGCATGCTATACAAACATATATATAAGCATATACATATATATATACATATATATATATATATATATATATATATATATATATATATATATATATATATATATATATATATATATATACATATATATATATATATATATATATATATATATATATATATATATATATATATATATATATATATATATATGCTATACAAGCATACATATAGCATAAACATATATATATATATATATATATATATATATATATATATATATATATATATATATATATATATATATATATATATATATATATATATATATATATATATATATATATATATATATATATATATATATATATGCTAAAAGATGCAATTACTCAATTAAAAGGTTCTTTCAAACAATTTTTATAAATTTTAATTTTTAATAGTAAGATGTTTTATCTGATAATTACCAGACATTTTGCCTATTTTTGTCTGATGACAAGAATGCAGTTTATAAGCATCAAAACTACATGCAGATTTTACTCACTGATAATGATGAACACATAAATTAATAACTAATATACAATAATTAATGATGAATAAATAAATTAATACCTGATTAATATAAAATAACTGATGAATGGATAAGAATTAGTAAATGCTTATATAAACAGTTATTTGTTAAATATAGAAAGACTTTTTACCTTAAAAATTGTAGCAAACAAGAAACTATTTTAAAAGTAAATTTTAAAATACAATATTTCATTTACTTATTATTTGTTATTAGTTAATAACTACTTTTATATTATTTACATTTAAAAAAGGAATTTTATATGGTTATAAAACATTTAAAACAATTTCTTTTTCATTTTTAGAGTTTTAACAATGTTTTGAATATTACAATCACACTTTATCTAAAGGTATTAATATTTTCAGAAAGATAAGTTGATTGTGGTTGGCATAGAAACAAGTTGAGCATGTTTGCCATAACAAGTTAAGCCATGATACTACAAATAGGGTTTCTAACAGCTGTTAACAGAAACCAGAAAACAGCTGTAAACAGTAGTTTTCTTAAGAGAAAATGAAAAACTATAAAATGATTGCAAAACTATTACCTTAAGCAATAAATTTTGCAGAAGGAATACTTCACACAAGGAATTCCCGCACAAATTGAATTAAAAATGTAGCGCTAAACTCAGCAGTGTTGGAATAACGATACAAGAAACTAACTTGTAATAGTTTAATATAATATAGAAATAAATAAATAAAACATAATATGAAAAAATATAAATAAAACATAAAAAAGATTTCTCTTTCCTATAAATAAGAATACAGAGCATAACAGTTGAATTGTCGATGTTATAGACTAAACTTGTTGATTTTGCAATTATTTTAATATTTCTCTAGAAAACAGATATTATTCTTATTATAAAGAATATATATCATATATGAATATATAATGTAATAATAGAGATGTCATTTGTTTGCAACTTTGCGACAAAACAAAAGAAGGAGTTTGCAATTGCTGCAATTATGTAATTAAGTGCTCTGGAGGATATAACACAAGCTTAAAGGTCTCAAACTGAAAAAATTCCTCCTGAACAAATTGTAGCAGAAAAGAAACCTAAAACAATGGTTAATTTTGTTCAAAATAAGAGCTTAAAATAAATAGTTTCTGGCATGGCCACAGATGGAATATCCGATAGACTAATCATCAGAAATCAATTCATTTGTGGTGCAATGAAAAAAGAAGAATATTAACTTCCAAAAAATGAGAGCAAATAAAGGTAATGAAGCTTATCAACGCTGATTTTTATAACAAGAAAAATGAAATGGTTTTAGAAATTGCGAAGGAAAAAAATTCAGTATAAGTGTTGACGAGTATACAACTGTTCACCGCCTTCATTGGAATAAAACCGCTTCTTTGGAATAAAACTGCATTGTAGCAAAGAAAATAAAACATGCAAATAGGATTAGTGTTCATCTTTGGTTAGTGCAATACTTAAGCAACGGTGAAAAAACTATCAAACTACTTTTTTAAGAAAAGTTTTTCAATTGAATTGAAAAGACTTAATTAGATCAACACAAGACATTGAAATATATAAAAACTTTCAAGATTATTGACCTGTATTATATTAGTCTTGGCATTCACTTGGGAGTAACTGACACTTTTCATTAAAAAAAAAATACACCAGAGTTAGTTTAAGTAAGTTAGATTTGGTCTCTGATGATGAAGATCAGGTTGAAAATTATGAAAAAAATGACATGGAGGTTAAACATCATTGGAATTTTATCCCACAATAATTGATCAATCAATACTTTTCCTGTTTGAGACAAAAACTGAGATTTTTTGCTCTTTGCTCAATCTGATCAAAATGGTGGATTTTAATGCTTTGTCGATGTTGCGAATGACCATAGAGCTGATCAAAATTTCTGTTAGACACTTAGTCATAAAGATTCAAAGACTTTACGCTGATACTGTTATTGGCTTCGTGCTGAAAAAACTTTAATATAAATAAGAACATTGGAAAGGAGTTATAAGAAAATCTAAAGAAGCAAACAAGTAAAAGATGGCATAACGATGTGATGAACTTGTCAATATCACTGAGAAGTCTTTCAAATATTCCATCAAGAGACAATTTGCTGGAAAATTGGCAAAAAGAATTTTTGGTTTTCAAAGAGAAAAAAAAACTTTTGATTCTTGTGATTCTGAAGGTCATCAAGCAAGTACAACTTCACTGTCTCTTTAAGAAAGAGTTAACTTTGTTTCTGAGAAAAGAAAAAGTTACTCCTATTTCAACAGTCAATAATGAGTTCAAATGGCGAAAACAATAATTTTTGCTTTTTACAGCTCTCTTAACAATTAAACTGACATCCACTGACGTTGAACTTGTTTTTTAAATTCAAAAAATTTTTTCACAAAGATTCGATCACGTCTGTTGGAAAAATCTCTGAATTCTCTTGTGTTTCTTAAATTTACTATAATAAAAAATAATGCTAGAAATCAGACTGTTTTTTGTATATTCCACAAAAAACAGAAAACAGCTGTTAACAACTGTTTTTTTTTAAATGTAAAACAGAAAAAAGTTGTTTCCTGAAACTACTTTTGCGAAACTCTAACTACAATGGAAGAAATGGAGTTTGGAAACAAATAAACTTTAAGTAATAATTTTTACAAGTACATAATTTTACATTATATAACATGCATATACATACAAATGTTTACTATTTCAAAAAACACAATATAAAATTAATTAAAAATAGATTACCATGTAAGCTGACTAAAACATTACAATACACCTAGATCAATACAAAAAAATTTCAAAAAATAATACCTTCAAAATCAAATGTTCCAAGTGTTCGCAGAGCTAATGTTGTCATAGCAATATCATCATCAGCACTTGTGGTACCAGAGACTAAAATAATTCCACATCTTTAACTTAAATAAGTTCAAATCAAGGTTATCTAAAAAAGTGTGTTTTTAATTTGAAAAACTTAACACTTAGATAAAATTTTAAACTTTCAAACAAACCTGCAGTAGTAGTAGCTGCAGCACTTTTTGGAAGACCTGTTTGACGAATAGGCCTTTGTTCAAGAATGTTTGTTAACAATGCTACCAAACCATCTATAAAAAAATTGTTATAAGATTTTTAAAATTAAAAATTTATTAATATTAACAGTATTTATTAATAGTAACGTTAAACTTTTTTTTTTTAAATATATATGTTTAAATGCTTCTTTATATTCTTATACACTGCAATACACTTCAATATTTCACTGCAATACACTTCAATATTTCATTGCAATACACTTCAATATTTCACTGCAATACACTTCAATATTTCACTGCAATACACTTCAATATGTCAATATATCAAAACATGCTGGAATACATTGCTAGAATCGTTTTTGTGTATTTTAATAAATATAAAGGTGTGTGTGTGTATGTGTGTGTGTGTGTGTGCGTGCGTGCATGTGTATGCATATAGATATAAATACTAAATTTTTTTTCTCTTTATTATGGATCCTAAAAGTTATATATATTTAATATCAAAAGTTTTACTAAATTTGAAAATGATTGTAATAGATTAAGAGGTCCCACTTTTTCTGAAAAATAATTTGTAAAATTTTAGAAGAGCTCACAAGTGTGATTTTGCAGATAAACTTTATTTAATAAGATTTGTTTAATGTACTAAATTCTTAAAATGAAATATATTGTGTTTTAATTTTAGTATGCGTGACGGTCTAATATAGCGATGTCATTTTCTACAAAAAAAAAGTTGTAAAAATAAAAAAAAATACATTGAAAACCTGCGCGTTAAAACTAACATTTAACTTATATAAAAATTATTTTTAACAATTCTATTAGATAATTTTGCTTAGGTTTTTTTTACCATTTTTATAACATTCCAATGTTTAGAGATGTTCCTATTGCTATTGTCAGGTATAGAATGTCAACAAGAAAAAAAACAAATATTATTATATTTAGGAATCCTTGCAGTATACCAAGGAACACATCTACACAGAAAAAATTTATCTGGTTTGTTTAATCAATAAAACAAGTGCTTCAAATATTGCTTAGAAAATGTTTAGAAAAAGGTTGAAAACACCAACAATTAAGTAGTTGAGTTTTGCATTAACTGCACAACATACCATTGCATTAGTTACACAACATTCTATTGCATTAACTGCACAACATTCTATTGCATTAATTACACAACATTATATTGCATTAACTGCACAACAAACTGTTACCAACATCCCTCTTTTTTCTGAAGTTATCCTTCCAACTTGCTTATATGTCAGGTCAGGTCATCCTGCTACTACAGACCTTGTTTTAAAGCATAAACTGGCGTGCCATTTATGTAAGCGCTGAGCCATTTTTGTCAAGTCACTTTTTATCATTTTTTTAACATTTAATTAAGTCTAAAAATATCATTTAGGCAGTAAGGTAAAAGAAGTAATTACCTTTATAAAAATCACTTATGAAGTTTGAATGACAATTTTGTAAAAAAATTAGCATATAAATTACGCTTGATATTTGCATTATTTACAAATGTAATAAATTACAAAAAAAGAATTTATTACATTTGTAATTTATTACAAATGTAATAAATTATAAAAAACTATTAGGTAAAAGTAGTACACATTAAATTTTATGTTATATTAGCGCCACTTTTGATATTTTAATTTTTTTGTTTGTTTTTGTTTTGTTATAATGATTGATTTTATCAAAAAAATAAAAAAAAAACATTATAAAATTAAACGACATCTTATAAAGAGATCATTTTTTTATAATTAAAAAAAAACTTTTTTTATAGATTTAACTCTATTAATTTTTTTGCTTCAATTTATGCTTGAAGCAAAATCTGACAATTTATATTTATAAGCTTTGTTTTTATTTATTTATTTATTTTTTATTTATTTGAATTTTTATGCTACATTTTTCTATACAATGTTCTTATATCCAAAAATATTGTTGGCTTAGCATAGGAACAGCCACAAATAGTCAATAAGACTAATTCAAAGTAGTGTCTGTTATTGATATAAGTTAAATGATAATAAAAAATGTAATATTAAATTTAGTTATTTAATATTAAAAATAAAATTAAAATAAAATTTTACAATATGTACATTTAGAAAAAAACACTTCTAGATTTTTTTTCTTAATTAGTAAAGTAAACTTGCAGTAACTTATTTTATTGTTGAAAAATTTAATATTCTTAAATTAAAAAATTTTATGACATCAAAATCATGACGAGCTAATGCGTTAAAACATTTCTTATTTAAAACAATGCCTGCTACTGGTTAGATGTAACCAAGTACAACCTGTATTATAACTTGTTGTCTCGAAGGACACTTTTTTTAGGCAAAGGCCAGGAAATGCCAACTCTGACTTAACACACACCCTGTTTTGGGTCACTTGATTGAGTAAAGGCTAGAGATGGTGTTTTGATAAAAATAATCATCTTAGATGGACATTAAAGCCTCCGAGGCTGATTCCATCAACAGCTGTAAAATATCAGAGTACTAACAGTGCCATATTGCGCATGGATAGTGTTCTTTGCTCATACATTTGATCTACATTAGCTAGGCCACATTCTTTCTTACAGCTTAGGGTTTTTTATTAGTAATGAAATAATTGCTTGGACTACTAGAAGTTCTTTAAGCAATTTAAAAAAGGACTAAAAAATCAAAAAATATAAAACACTAAAAACCATTGTCATCACCAAGATCTCTAAATCATTCACTAATATTCGTGGTCTTCGAAGTAACTTTTGTTCTGTTGAGTCTTATCTCTTGCAAAATTCACCAGACCTTCTTGCTCTTTGTGAGACTAATTAGAGTTCAGCTTTCTTATCTTGAGATCTTAGTAATGATGGTTATCCTCCTTTAATTCGTTTTTTAATCATTTTAATCATTGCATAAAATGGAATGATGAAAATATACAGTGTTAAAAAATGAGACAGGCACAAATATTTTTAGACAATTTAAATGACAACCTTTTGACTCGAATCATCTCAAAACCAACATTTAATTCATTCTGTCAGAAGGTAATACATTAGATTTGATTTTAACTGATGCACCAGAGCATATCCTGATTACAATTCAAATAATGCACATCAGATATTGTATTGGAATTACATCTTAAAAAAAACAACTACATCAAAATCTTCCTATGGAAAATCAAAGTTTAACTACAATGGTTCAGATTTCGTTACCTCACCTAAAGAAAAAGCTGAATTATTTGCTAAAAACCTTTCATCAATTTTATCTCTTGTTCCACTAATCACATCCTACCTGATATTGCTGACAAACAGGCTGATCGATTGCTTGACATTCATATTACTTCAGCTTCTGTATCTAAAATGATTTCCTGCTCGGACTCTTCTACAACTTGTGGTTCGGACAAGATACCTGTTATAGTATTGCAGCAGTGTTCTCTAGAGTTGTTGTCTATACTATTGAAACTGTTGAACAAGTGCTTATGTCTTGATTTCCAGCATGCTAGAAAAAGGCATTTGTTATCTCTATTTTCAAAAATACTGGAGAGCAATCTGACTACCACCCTATTAGTCTTCTTTTTATAATAAACAAGGTTTTTGAGTCTTTAATTAACTAAGACTAATCTTTCATAACTTACTTTCTGATCATAATTATGGACTTTGATCTTCTTGTTTTACTGCTGATTTGTCAACTGTAATAACTTATAGGTTTTATTGTGTAATAGATAGATCTGAAGAGGTTATAATAAGGCAATTGCTCTCAACCTTTTTAAAGCTTTTGATAAAGTTTGGGATGCTGGTCTTCTCCATAAACTCTCTAAGAAGTCAATACTCTCTGATTGCTTGGAACGGGCATTTGAGCTTGAAAAGGATATCACTTCTGCTACAGAATGGGGCTCTCAGTGGCTGGTGAACTTTAAATTAGATAAAAAATTTTTAGTTAATCGTTATCGCAACAACCTAGATCTTCCTATATTTATGAACAGTAATGTACTTGATGAGTTATCTACCTTTCATCTTCTAGGATTAACTCTTACTTTCGATCTTTCTCGGAAACCAAATATCAAACCATCTGTTAAAGTTGCATTTCTTTATCCTGCTTGCCACTTTCTTACTTTGGATTCTATTCTTTATCTCTAAAAATCTCAAATCCGTCCTTGTATGGAATACTGTTGGAGCTGAATACTGTTGGAGCTTGTATGGAATACTGTCTGGAGCAGATCTTCAAATGATGCCTTTTCCCTTTTAAACAAAGTGCAAAGACCCATTTGAAACATAGTTGGACTTTGTCATATTATTATAATATTGCTTCTCTTTTTTTTTTCTATAAATACTATAATGGGCACTGCTCTAAAAAGCTAAGGTCTCTTCTGCCATTCACTAAAATTCATTCTTATGTTACTCGCTGTTCAATTAAGTCTCATCCTTTTACTGTTCCTATGTGGTCTGAAAATTCTTATTTAACTGAATTTTTTTCTCAAATATCATTCTTTGGAATTTACTCCCTTCACCTTGTTTTCCTGATTCATATAATTTGCAATCTTTTGAGTCATCTGTTAATCTTTTCTCTTTTAGTAACTTCCAACTCTAATAGTGGTTGCTTACAGCCTCGTTGGAAGTACGGATATTTAAAAAAATAAAAATAACCTGGAACAATTTTCGTATCAAACTACCCTAATTGGTAGATCCTCCACAGACTCTTAAAATATATAAATGAAAAATAAATGCCATTTGCATAAAGAAGTCTAAAACAGAATATGCATTTGATACAACCCTTGAAAATGTGGTAATAAAAAAAAACAGAAATCACAAAAAAATAAAACTCAATAAAATGTTAAAGTTCCATAATTAGTATGGAATATTTTAACTGAACAAAAAAAAATTATAGAATACAATAATTGGTAATATAGACAAAAAGAAACCAAAAAGCTACAAATTTTTTTTTTTTACAGAAAGTATAGTAATAGCTCAGCATCAGCTTCCATTTTTATAACGATAAAATATGTTAAAGTAAATATCATAAACATACATTATCTTCAATTTTTTATAACAATAAAATGTCAAGATAAAATTTATATACCAACATAATTTTCAAAGATGACAAATAATCATTAAGATTAAGGAAAGTACTAAATTGCTAAAAAACAGACATATATATCTGAACTTGCACCAGATAATTAAACACACTTATACATCATATAGGTTTACTTTTCAATGCTTTTTTAAATGACAAAAAAATAGGTTATGCCTATTAATCTTATTCAATTATGAAAAAATTTTAAAGGTACAATTTTTGGAGGAAGTAATAACTTTCAGGACCCATAAGAAACCTTGAAAAAGGTAATTTTCAATATATACACTTTTTTTAGCAGATTTAGGTTATCACTGTCCTAATATGTCACACTGCCTGGTCACACTGCCTTGATGTTTTGCACATTTAAAGTTTTAAAATCTCAATTTTAATTCAGCAAGTTTTCCAGAAAAAAAAAAAAAAATACTGAAAAAAAAACAACTTTTTTTTACTATAATAAAAGCCCTTTTTATCTGGACAACACTTGGAATTAGGAAAAATGAGGTCGGCATTAGTTTGCTGACCTCAATTTTTTAGAGGTTGGCAGCAGGTTGGGAAAAAAAATTTGATACTAAGGGCTTACCATAAAAGATAGCAACAAGATCAGGAATTTTTTGCTGATCTCACACACTTTTAGGTCGGCAGTTAGTTGCTGACCCTAATTCCAAGGGTTGTCTGAATATATACTAAGATCATAAATAAATATAATAAATATAAGTAATTTCAAAATACTTTGAATTTGTTTTTTCATAATTGGCATTGCTTCAGCTAATTCTTGGAGTGATGCAGTCAAAGCAGGACTAAAAAAAAAAAAAAAAAAAAGTTTACATCCTAATCTTTTGTGCATAGTTTATCAAAAAATATTATCAAGTGTTTTTTTTCAAAACAATTACTATACTATGATATAATTACTTAAAAAAATGCATTCAAACAAGCATTAAATTAGTTAATAATTCATTTTCTTTAAATTGATATTAAAATTTTAAATCTAGGAAAGTTGGGGCTACAAGTTTAGTAGTAGTGACTTTTTTGATGTAAACTTTTTTTTACAATTTTAAATAAATACTTGGTAAATATAATTTTTTTGAATGGCTAAAAACAATATAATGGGTTAAAAATAAAGACAACAATGCAATGTGAAAAAAAATTAAAACTGCTGGCCTCGTGATAAAGCATTAGGCACGAAGCATTTCAAGTGCACGAAGAGCAATTTTGTGGGTGGGGCTATGCTATTTATGTTAAGCTAAAAACTTTTATGTTTGGTAATACTTAAATAACTTAATAGATATTTTAAAAGGTATTTTAATGAAGTAATAATGTTTATTTAAACAATATTTTAAAGAAGTAGTTAACATTTTAAAAACCACACAAAATTATTAAAAAACTTTAAATTTAAAATACATAACATATATGCATTATTTACAAATATTATAAATTCAGAGAAAATAAAAAAAAAATAAAACTTGAATTTTTTACATTTTTTTATCAAAATATTGATAAAAATGTAGTCCATCTTATTGGAAAATCATTTATGCTTGTTCTAAGTTTTCAAAGATCCTGAAAGTTCATATACTCCTAATGAAGGTGAAACTTGAGTTTTGTTATATGGTTTAGAAAGTTGTAAAATGTTTGACATGGAATGTTCTATCAAAGTTGACCAAAAACCACTAGTTTTTAATTAAAATTTAATTATTGAAATTTAAATGAATATTTTTTCTCTAAATATTAATTTTGATGTCCCTATTAAAATAGATAGAATTTTTACAGAACCATCAAAATTTATCACAACTTATACAAACAAGATTTCCAGAAAAAAAAGTCTCAATGTAACCTTTTTTTGAATCTTTCTTAGTAAAATAAAATTTTAGTTTGAGAATTTTGGTCAAAACATCATGATCTATATGCTATAAACAATCTTAAATTTCCAGATGGTAAAATGATAATACCAAATAAACTAAGAATTTCTTATTGTTGAGTTATTATACAGTATGTGAATTTAATGTATAAATAGGAGATGTATTCATATATAGAAGATGTATTTATATATAGGAGATGTAACTATATATAGGAGATGTATTTATATATAGGAGATGTATTTATATATAGGAGATGTATTTTTTATATAGCAGATGTATTTATATATGGAAGATGTATTTATGTATAGGGACAGGGTTCCCAATATTAAAACTAAGGCTAAAATTAAGGAATTTAAGGAGATTGAAAGAGATATTTTCCTAATACTTAAGGAGATTTGGTCGCAAACAACATTTTTTTGAAAGAAAAAGTAAGGATAATTAAGGAGAAAACGATTACATTAAAAACATAATCTTATTTCTTTCAATGAATTTTAAATACAAACAGAGAAATTATTATTACTTTATATATATATGTATATATATATATATATATATATATATATATATATATATATATATATATATATATATATATAATATATATATATATATATATATATATATATATATATATATATATATATATATATATATATATATATATATATATATATATATAAATATTAATATATATATATATATATATAATATATATATATATATATATATATATATATATATATATATATATATATATAATAACAAAAATAGGTTTGAAAACTATCAAAAATCTATATATTATCTTCTTTATTAACAAGTATAATCCATTCACTTTAAAATTTTTTTCTAGATAAACAAAAAAAAAAAGGAGAAATTAAGGAGAGCAGTCAAATTTTAACTTTTTTTAAGGTTATTTAAGGACATTTAAGGAGGTTTTTATTTTTTAAGGATATTTAAGGTTTTTAAGGAGGTGTGGGAACCCTGATAGAAGATGTATTTACATAAAAGAAGATGCATTTATATATAGGAAATGTATTTCCTGGAAAATAATAAAATGATCACTATTGTTATTTTACAAAAACAATGCAAAAGACAAAGTTAAGCAAAAAATATGAATCATGATTATGAAATTATAAATAATCAAATAATCAATAAAAATTTATCATTTTATAAAAAAATATTATGTCATCAAAACAATAGCAAATATTCATAAATTATTATTTTGCTGTGATTTGCTAATATCAAATGATAAGAATATAACAATAATTCAGCTGGTAACTGTTTGCTGACTGGTGTAAAAAATATCAACAACAAAAAAAAAAATACAATTCTTTAAACTGTTGATAAAACTATTTTATGTAACTATATATAAAAAAATATATATATATATAGAAAAATGTAAAAATGAAAAATAAATATATAAAAAAAAACCAACACTTTATTTTTAAAAGTATAACATAAATTTTGAAAATAAATTTATAACTCTGTTAACTCTACTAACTCTTTAATCTTTTATTTTAACTTTTTTTATTTTTACATTAATATTGTATATAAATTATTACCTGTTATAAATTATTACTCTGTTACCTTAAACTTAAAATAAATATTTTATATAAACTATTGACTCTGCTACCTTAAACCAGCACTAAGCATTAGTATGATGATATCTTGAATTTCTTTGGCAAAATGTTTTTGACCAAAAGCTCTCGCAGTCATACTAACACAAGCAAAAACCATAGAATCAATGGGTGTTGTTCGTCGTCTAAAAAATTTAAAAATCAATGGGTGTTGTTCGTCGTCTAAAAAATTTAAAAATCAATGGGTGTTGTTCGCCGTCTAAAAAATTTAAAAATCAATGGGTGTTGTTCGTCGTCTAAAAAATTTAAAAAGATTGATGGTGAATGTAAGAGACCAAATCTTAGATGCTACATGCAGGTAAGTTAAGCTTGTAACTAAATTACTATAGTAGTAAATGTTAAATAAACCTGTTAAGTGGCTCTTTATTAATTAACAAAAGCTTGATATGTTCAAGAACACTTTTCCATTCTTGCAAGCCTGTAGCTATATCATTTTTTAATGCCAATGCTAGCAGCCCTATAGCTTCAAATGCTGTAGACTTTTCACGATCCTTAAAAAAATTATGTATTACAGTGTAAAAATAGAATTTATTGAAATAAAAAATTATAAATAAATTTTGTTCCTCTGTTCAGCGGCCTTGTTCATTAAGTCATGTTTCTGAGTTAAAGAGATGAGAGAGAGATAACTACAATTATAAAAAAAAAAGAAAAAAAAATTTCAAAATAATTTTAAGATAATTTTACCTTACCTATTTAAAGATTTTGGATTTCAACAAGATAAAGACTTTTAATAAACAATTTAAAATTTAATTTATGTTCTTTTGTTAATTTAGTTTTGCAGTATTTTAATTTATCAAAAGTTAAAACTATTAAAACAAAAACTCAAGTTTTTAAAAATATTTAACTTGTTTTTTTTTATATTAATTTCATATTTAAATTCAAAATAATTAAAACAAATTATTGATTGGATTTTATCATTAAAATAGTTTCTATATAAAGTTTGAATTTAAAGATTTATGGTTAACCCTTTTTTTATTAAAAAGCTAAGTAATTTAAAATGTACATTGCAATAAAAAATTAATAATAAACCCATAGTTAATTACTCATTCTAAAACATATATAAAATAATAATTTCATATACTTAATTACTCATTCTAAAACATATATAAAATAATAATTTCATAAACTTTTTTCAGTGTTTTTAATTGCTAGAAGTCACTTTTAAACCAGAAAAGTTTCCGTAACTTTTTCCTAGAAAAGTTTTTGCATTAAATTACTTGGTGAAATGCTTCTTATTTTTATCTATTATTTATTTATTTTTACAAATTTTAAAATTCAAAAAATTAATTTATGACAAATAAAGTAATTATTTAATACATTGCTTAGTCTTAAATAAATGAATAGAAAAAATAAATTAAACACAAACATTTGGTTGTATAAAACAAACATTTTATGCTTACTAAGGATTAAAATTAAACTATAAGCTGCAGACATTATGTCTTCTTAAACATAAAAAGCAATTTTAAAATATATGCTTGTATATAAAATGTTAAATATGCTAAAATGCAGATAATGATTAAATGATTAATAGCAACTAGTTCATAATATTAAATATAAGTGATAAGTTGTAAATAAAATACTAAACCAAAATAGGTTGTTTTTTTTCTAACATTGAAAATTACAAGTTAAAAAAAATCATACTTTTTTTTCTAGTTTATATTCTATTTAAAACTCTTCATTTTTTTATCTTTTTTTTTTATTCAGAGATTATCATTTTTATATTCCATTTAGAAATATTTTTATAAGTTTTTATAAGAAATGTTTTTATAAGCTTTTCAAGTCATAGAAATGATGTGAGCTATAAAGATTTTTCAATATAAATTTATTTTATAAAAAAAAACTCTTTAATATTTTGTAAGTCCAGTTTAGTTAGATTGTTAATGCTGCATTAGCCAAAAAATTACATGTAACTTTGAGGAAGCTGATTAAAAAAATATCAGCTTAAGAACAAAAGCAAATTTGGGGAAAAACAATACCTACCTTTTTTAAAGCATTGATCATATGAGAAATTGTTGTCTTGAAGTACCTAAATTCATACACAATCTTTTATAAGTACCTGAATTCATACACAATCTTTTATAAGTACCTAAATTCATATGCAATCTTTATAATTAAACAAGTTTTTTTCTTGCAACAAGTAAAATATAAAACAATTCAATAGAAAACTTATACGTCTTCTTAAATGATTTAGAATTAAAAGCAGCAAGTTGAGGAAGGAAAGTGAGCAACGTGTGTTGAACAAGACTACTCTTAAATGATCTCTGGCTAAGGACAGCATTGCAAACCTAAACAGAAAAAAAGTTAATCATTAAATAGAAAAACTAAAAAATATTTAAAAGTTAATCATTTTACAAAAAAATTTATTTAAATATTTTTCAATCATTGTTACTTAATACGCAATATTAGTATATAGTAAATATTGCAATATTTATGCAAAACATATTAACTACAAAGTTTTGCGTATTAATTACAAAACATTTATTTGTCATTTAATCAAGTTTTGTAAAGTCTTTTTTTTTTATTATATAGCATTAAAAATTAATAGTATAGCATGTCCTAATGGCTGAAGTGGTTAGCTGTTCTGCGCTTCTGCAGATTTCAGATTTCTAGAATACAAAATAAAACACTTTAAAAGTTGTATTGATATTATATATGTAAAGATATATACTATAATAAACGAAAGGAAGAGATTTTTAAAAAACATAAAATTTCTAAAAACATCAAAACACCATAAGACATTTGTTGCACATAGAAATACTTATGTTATTAAAGTGCTTAGATAATTAGTAGAGTCTGCACCTTTAACACACATTAAAGAAACAAATTTCTTTCTTATAGAAAATAAGATTTCACAGTCAAACTTTTATTTTCTATAAAATTAATTAACAGGGCAAGGATCCTAATAAACTATGGATGACCTGTTTAATAAAAATTTAATATAAACATAATAAAGAAAAAATAAGCTTATCTTTTAAATAAAAAAAGTGAAACAAATTTCTTCTTGCCCAATTTGACTAGGCTAAATAACCAACTTTCTACTTCAATTTATTTTGTTTTTGTTTTTGTTTCAGAACTCATTCTATTGTTTTTGTTTTGTATTTTTTATAATTGTTTTTTCTTGATTTCAAGAACAGATATGGCTGATGATTGCTGATAGGCATGAAATTTTTAGCTCCATCACAATGTTGAGTTTTTTCATATAATTTAATACTATATATATATATATATATATATATATATATATATATATATATATATATATATATATATATATATATATATATATATATATATATATATATATATATATATATATATATATATATATACATATATATATATATATATATATATATATATATATATATATATATATAATTAATATATATATATATATATATATATATATATATATATATATATATATATATATATATATATGTATATATATATATATATATATATATACATATATATATATATATATATATATATATATATATATATATATATATATATATATATATATATATATATATATATATATATATATATATATATATATATATATATAATTTTAGCAAACTGTTTTTAAAAATGACTAATTTACATATAAAACTAGTATTACATTCAGCATTTTCTAAATATAACTATTTATTTGGCCTTATTTAACATAATAATTGAACCTTACTTAATAATTTCTTCTTTTTATAAAATTGAAGCCCTCACTTAATAAAACTTCATGCTAACATCCTTATTGAACTTTAAAACTATATAAACTCTGATACAGCAAGTACCAATTGCAACACATTTGTGTTTTTAAGGTCTGAAATTTTACAACTTTTATTTATTTTTAAAATTATAGATTTTAAAAAACTTATATATTAAAAAACATTCAAAATGACATGCACAATAGACAAATGATACTTCTTTGAGGTAGTTTTTATAGATTTCTATGCTTACCCAAGCCTAAGAGTTAAGAAATTTTAAAAAGAATTTAGTAAAACCAACTGTACACACAAACTCTGAAGAGGTTATTATTTTTAAACATTACTAAATTGAAAATTGTCCTTTTTTATTTTTTATGCATCAATTTCTAATATTGCACAAAAATTCAATACCTTTGCAAACTTAACATTTAAATTTCAATTCTTATTCAGTAATGTTTTAACTTTCAGAAAAAAAAAATAAAAAAAATTGAAAAACCTATAACCTGTCAAAATTTTAAAGTGTTTTTACAAAACTTAAAATATTTGTGTTTTGTTTTAATTGTTTTATTTGAGCTAAGATTTTGATTATACCAATTTTTTAATTCAACATTTTTAAATTGTTTTTTGATTTTGTTATTAAAAAATCCCCAAATTCATTATGCTAATAAAAAATATATGATCACCATAGTTACTTGTAATAATACAAGACATCACAACTTGTAAAATAATCAAGTATTTTTGTATTTTATCAAAAAGTTTTTTTGTATTGTATTAAAAACTTTTTTTCTTTCAAAAACATGTCAGAGGAGTTTGGAACTCTTCAAAAACATGTTAGAGGAGTTAGGGACTAGGAAAGACTCTTCAAAAAACTACATATTTTTATAAAAAACAAATAACCTACATCATCAAAGTGAGTTTCCATGAACTCTTTGCAGTACCGACTTTGAGATAATGGAATTTGATGCCCAACATTTAGTGGCATAAATGAGAGTTGAATTGGATGAGCTTGGTGAGAAAGAAAACGAGACGATTTTGACCATGGTATATCTCGACTATATATCTCTTGAGAGGTTTTATCTCCATACACTTCTTCCATTTGCTGTCTTAATCTCTTTAATAAAAATTAGATTAATAAGATAAATTAGATTATAATCAGTGCCGACAAAGTGTGTAAGAAGGAGGTGGGGGAGGGGGCTGGAAGGGAACAATTGTCAATTTTTTGAAATAGGAATCTATATATATATATCCTTAAAAATGTAAAAAAAGAAAAAAAATTAATAAATAAATAATAAAAAGATCCTTAACAAAAAAAGTGGGGGCATGAACCCTCTGGTCACCCTTGTGTCGTCGGCCTTGACTATGTAATAAAACTAATTACATAATGCTGAATCTAAAATATGTTTTTTTAAGCTTTTTCATTAGCTAATACAAAATACTGATTATTAGTTAGTAATCAATATTTTAAAAAGACTATTATCTAACAAATACACATATAATAAAAATAATACATTTTTCAGATAAGAAAATAATTAAAATTAAATTTTTAGAAAAGATACAAAAAACTTTTAATTAAAAATATTTGGGCTACTCTTGATATTTTTGAATTAAAAGTTTTTTTTTTAATAAAAATAATTATTTTGTTCATCAATCATAAAAGTTTTATTTTTGTCGCTGCTGAAAGTACGCCAAGGTAGGTTTTTGCGTAAATTTGTAACTAATTTTTTTTAATATTTAGATTTTCTTAAAAATTAAATCTCAGTAACGTTCAAGATCTTGAGTAATAATATTAAAAGAGTTAATAATAAAAAGAATAATAATAAAAAAATAGAAAAATAATAGTCAACATTTGCGTAATGCTTGAAATCTTTATTTTGTATTTTTTATCAACATTTTTAATATAAATTTAGTTATTAGTAATTAAGGAAATAATGCAGATAAAGGAAAAATGAATAATAATAAAGATTTGCATTTATTTGTAAGTTACTTCTATTTTATCTATGCAGTTTCTATCTTTATTTTTTTTATTATCTATCTTTATTTTGCAATTATCTATTTTTATTTTTTGTTTTTTTAGTGGCAAAATTGTTACGGAATTTGCAGTTTGAATAAACCTTATTAAACATAAGTATAAATCATGACTCCTGGAGAATCCTTAACAATATCTATAATAAGGGCAAATCTGTTATTCCACCTCTCTTGTATGGTTCAGATTTTGTCACCTAACCTAAAGATAAAGCTAAATTGCAACCCTAAGAACTTCAATATCATCAATATCATCTCTTTATTCCACTAGTTGTGTTCTACCTGATATAGCTGAAAAACAGGTTAATCCATTGCCTGATTTTCATATCACTCCAGCTTCTGTATCTACAGTAATTTCCTGCTTTGACTCTTCTACAGCTTGTGGTCTAGACAATATACCTGTTATAGTCTTGCAGAAGTGTTCTCTAGAGCTGTCATCGATACTTTTAAAGCTTTTTACCAAGTGTTTATCAGTCTTGTTTTTAAGCCTACTAGAGAGCGGCATCTGTTATCCCTTATTTCGAAAGTTCTGTAGAGCAATCTGACTCGTCTAACTACCATCCCATTAGTCTTCTCACTATCATAAGCAAGATTTTTGAGTCTTTAATTATGATGATACTGCCATTTATTCTTGTCTTGATAAAAGCCAACACTCTCTGATTGATTGGAGGGGCATTTGAGCTTGAAAAGGATCTCACTTCTGCTACAACATGAGGCTCTCAATAGCTGGTGAACTTTAACTCAGATAAAACTCAACTTTATTCAGCTAATCATTATCGTAATAATCTAGATATTATATTTATGAATGGTAATGTACTCAATGAGACATCTACCTTTCATCTTCTAGGATTAACTCTTACTTCTGATCTTTCTTGGAAACCATATATCAAATCGATTGCATCTGCTAAGATTATTAGCATCTGTTTAGGTTGCATCTCTTTTTTGTGCTTGCCACTTTCTTACTCAGTATCCTGTTCTTTATCTCTATAAATCTCAAATCTGTCCTTGTATAGAATACTGTTACCATATCTGGGGCAGAACTTCAAATGATGCCCTTTATTTTTTAGACAAGGTGCAAAAACGCATTGTAAATATAGTTGGACTTGCTCTTGTAGCCAACCTCCAACCATTATCACATTGTCCTAATGTTGTTTCTCTTTCTTTTTTCTATAAATACTACAATGGGTACTGCTCTAAAGGGCTAGCATCTTTTGTGCCATCTACTAAAGTTTATTTTCTTGTTACTTTTCTTTTTCTTTTTCTCTTATTTATTTAATTTGCAATCTTTAAGCCGTCTGTTAATCATTATCTTGTTCTATAAATTTCATTTATTTTCTTAATTAGTAAAAAACTATAATTAGTGGTTGCTTGCAGTCTTGTTGGAAGTGAAGATGTTAAATATATATATATATATATATATATATATATATATATATATATATATATATATATATATATATATATATATATATATATATATTTGAATTTAATATATTTGAATTTAGTATAATCTAATTGATTTAATGTACATCGAAAAATTGCGATTTTTATTTATTCATTTGATTTCTTTTTAATTTATGATAATGATGAGCTAGTTAATAATAGAGAAATTAAAATTTTAAACTTTATAAATATTTATAATGGTATAAAAAAAGTTTAGGATTTAATATGACTTTTGTCTAAAACATAAGATTTAATTTAAAACATAAAAGTTGCATTTTTAAGTCTACTATATGAGAACAAATAAAGGTATCATCATTAGTTAGCCAAATGTGACATTTCATTTTTTTGTTTTTTTGTTTTTAACTATAAATATATTTAAATCTTTAATGTTTTAATAAAAAAGTATTTATCATTGTGTAGACAAAATATCGTTGTGTAGACAAAATATCATTGTGTAGACAAAATATCATTGTGTAGACAAAATACCATTATGTAAACAAAATATCATTGTGTAGACAAAGCACTAAAGATGATCAGTCAATATTTTGCCTTTAGAAAACTATTATTAGGATTTCATTTAATGGTACAGTACATTTCTAGGCTTTACTTATTTTCTAAGTACTTTAATTTTTATAGTCGTTAATTCTTATAATTATTTTATATCATATATTTTTTTGTTTAATTATTTTCATTAATTATATTTTTATCACATATATTTTTTTAAATACATCCTATTTTTTTATCTTTATTATCATTAAAATCTTCATCAAGTACAGTTCTAGGTAGGTAGGCTTATTTTATAAAAAAATGTAAATGTGTCTACTTTTTATCATACTTTTCTTTTTTATTTCTTCAGCTTCATCGTAGGGTATAGATGTAACTGGTTGGGTTATTTTTTATACTCTAATTAAAATTAAAATGTGTCTATAAATTTATTAAATTTTTTTATTTATTCAGAACTCAGCTGGAAAAAAAAAACTAACTTTAGATAAATACTATCTAAATATTTTTTATGAGTATTTTATTATGTTGCTTTACGTAAGTTTATTATGTTGCTTTGCATACCCTAAATCAGGGATGCGGAGTCCCAAAAAGGACTCCGGGTTTGAATGTTACAAAAAGATTACTTCTTCCTCATTTTTGGTATCCAGGAGCTCTAATAATATAAAAAGCGGTTATGGATTGGTAAAAAAATTTTGGGTTAGAGGAACAATAGTTTTTTGAACCTGGAGCCCTTAGGTATAATGGTGGCAAGGACTCTGGGACTCCAGGACTCCGGGCCTAAAAACAATATATTTCAAGTCATTAAATTTCATGAGTTTTTTTTATATAGCAGATCATAAACAAATTAATATGTTCAGAGCTTCATTACACCAAAGACCAGAAAAAAATAGAGATATAAAGCCAGAGATCTTTTGGGACTCCGCATCACTGCCTTAAATTATTGTTATTGTTGTGATGCTAACAAATTTTTTATTTAAACTAATCTTGAATTAAAAGTGAAAAAATAAAAACTGAAATTATAACTTAAAGATCAAATTTGAGATACAACAAGGATATTGGAACTTAAAATTAGGAGATTAGAACTTGAAACTAGAAGATTGGAACTGAAAGATACTAAATGTTTCAAATATCTTTTAAATTATTCATAAAGGTTATGTTATTTACTTAATTTATGAACCTTTCTAAAAACAGTTTAATTTATACATGATTTATAAATTTAACTGTTTCAAACTTTAATTTAAAAAAATTATACTGAATGTATTTGCTTTTAATTGCAGATAGTGCTTGTTTTGAATATCTTAATTTGATTTGTATTAAATGTTATCTTTGATGATAATTTGTGGTTTCTTGCAATGGTTTATTGCAATATAACTATGAATGGTTTATTGCAATATAACAATGAATGGTTTGTTGCAATATAACAATGAATGGTTTGTTGCAATATAACAATGTATGGTTTATTGCAATATAACAATGAATGGTTTATTGCAATATAACAATGAATGGTTTATTGCAATATAACAATGAATGGTTTATTGCAATATAACAATGAATGGTTTATTGCAATATAACAATGAATGGCAATATAACAATGAATGGCAATATAAAGAGGTAAACAGATTCTATCTGTTGACCAGCCTTGCACCCCTTCTTCATCTATTAGGTTGGCGCAGATGTATTTTTAATACATTGTTTCCAGTTTAGGATGTTGAACTCTGGATCTTCTTGACTTGATGCATGGGTTTTGCTTGTGTCTCTGTTTTTATGACTAGGCAACTCATTCTATTATCTCCAAATGAGGGTACAGCTCTAAAACTCAGTTTTATGGTTCTGAGGCCGGCTGGTAGTAAGGTTCCCGAACTCTGTGGTAGCTCTCAGAGAGGCTGATTCCATCAACAGCTAAAAAATATCAGAGTACTAACAGTGCCATGTTGTGCATATATGGTGTCCCTGTTTGTACTTTTGGTGTGCATTGCCAAGGCCACACTGGAGCCCTTAGTTACGGCTTAGGGTTTATTAGTGGAAATGAGGCAATTGCTTGAGCTATAAAACAGTGTACTGAGTACTATCTATGTTTCGAGTCAAGTTCTTTAACAACGTTAAAAATGAATAAAGTAACAAAAACTATAAAACACAAAAAAC